AATTAACTATGTCTTTCCATACCGATCCTAATCAGATGATTTGGATTTTGATCATAGAACGGTTTCCATCTAAAATCATCTCAAGGTTAATTCGTTTAATTTTCTGCTTGGTTATGAAATATCAGGAGAAAACAGGAAGCAGTAAAGGAGCAACGATTGTGGAGGAATGGGACAAGTATCTTGCAATGTTCTGGCAACTTGTGCCGCCGAGTGAAGAAGACACACCTGAAGCTAACTCCGACAACGTCCTAGAAACAACCACCGGAGATGTGTCAAACACACTTGCGGTGTAGTTGCAACAAACGAGAAGTAAAAAACCGTTCAGAATTGATGGTGGTTTCTTCTTTGTACAGTCAAAAGTCCTAATGGAGATTAGTCTCAGTTTCTCTCCATTTGTTTCTTCTTCTTCTTCTAATTCGGTCTGGATTCGGTTATCTTTTGGTTTACTTCCTCCGGTCGTTAATAATAAAAGAAAATCCAGCATATTTGTACTTTTGTATGCCATGGGATTATACTATAGTAATCCAAGAAACCCGATTATTAAAACTTATTAGATTATCAGTCTGGAGATTTATCTTTTTTAGTTTTGAATTTCTGACAAAAGAACAGAAAATTGTTGAGTTTCAGTCATGCATGCATACGTTGAGCGTATAAAATTAATACAATATCATAAACCGATATGTGATTTTGTTGTCCCCATAACAATTAACAATATTATATAGGTCACGAGAAAGGTACGTGTGTGTGTTCGTTGAGAAAGTGATGTTTATTACCTGTTGTCTCAGCTCTCACGTGGTAGCTGGAAACAGAGATATAGCTGACACGTGTGAACATGCGTGTCTTAAGTCTTAACGCCCATTTTTCCCTGTCCCATGAAAATGAAACTGTCCAATCTTTAAAATATAGAAAGTTCTTAAACACCAAAATTCGAAAGTTCTTTAACCACCAGAAATTGGAATTGACACGTTCATTGCATCCTCTCACCGAAAGCACAAGATGTCAAATTACTCATTTTACCATAAACAGGTAGCAAGCTTAAAGATAACAAAAATGGGAAAAGAGTTTAAGTTCAGTGCATATGCAAGGGAAATCGTTACGTCTTCTTCTCTTCTCTCCTCGTTAACGGTTCATTGTATTTCTGCTTTTCGTTTTCAAATCTAAAATAAATTTTGTGAAACCTCTGCCGTTAACTTTGACTTGTCTGTTGGCGAGACGAATTAAACTCACTAATTGGTGATAATTGTTTTTTTTTTTTAAAGCTCTCAAGCAAATCAGAAGCATTCTTTCTTCTTAACAAAACTCAGTATATTAAAATACGACTCTTTGATTGGTTCCCAAAAAAAGAGAGACTCTTACTAAAACTGGAGGATAACCAATTGTAGTTGACAAACGTAAACTTAAGCTTTAATTAAAAAAAAAACATCATCAGTGAACTTTGTTTGATAAGTGTATAGGCGAAACAGTATATATGCCTTCAAAATTATAGAGCGGAAAATCGAGGAAAGCAAAAAATTAAGCAAACCAATCTCTTCGAGCATGATTTTAGATATTCAGCTGGCATCATTCAACAATTAAAAAAGGTTAGCAGATTTAAATCATCTTTACACGATTGAATATCATTTCATAGGACCCACTAAACTTCCCAATACTGTGTCGACAGCCTAGCATTGTTACGTATAACAATGCCTCAAATAAGAAAAAAGAGAAAAATAACGAAAGACCATGGAGAAAAAATAAACTAATTAAAGATTATTTTCATGGTATAATCGACATTGATTCTACAACCTCCGCTTTGAGAAGAATCCTAATACAGCGCATGATTAAATGAAATATATTGATTTTAATAATTTTATTTGTATTAACATTAGAAATTTAGAATTTTAAGATTTTCCTATTAATAAAACTTAAACACTTAAAACTATTATATGTCTCTCTATTTAGTCTTCCATACTGATTAAAAAAAGGGTCATACCTATTTATTATAATGTTTGATTATTATGTTTGATATTTGTTAGATCATTTTCAACCCCATTGCATATTTGGTACCAAATTCTATTTTGCAATAAAAACTGCTCTAATCCTACCTGGCTACCTAGCAAAACTGTAACGCTAAGCGAGAATTGATTCCATAATTAAACGAGTGACACGTTACACAACCATCCTATAAAATAAATGAAAGAGAAAAAAAGAACTCGAAATTATGATTTTGCATGTAAACTTCGGTAACGTATATTGAACAATCCAAGTTCAACTGAAAATTAGAAATCCGAAAATTGATCCGATTGTTAAGAAGATTTGAGTGCTAACCGAGATTGGTCCGATTGTTAAAAAGATTTGAAATTACACTCAAAGTTTTACAATGAACACTTTACAAGATCCGATTAAAACAAAGAACAAGAGAAACAATTAAAGACAAAAGACAAGAAAAGGGTATGAATCCGAATTCAAATGAAACTGCATGGATTCACAATTATCATCAGATGTAATAAGAAACCAAAACCCATTGAACGACGACGCATTTACATTTTTGTGTGTGTTGTCTGGATCGAATCGACACATTGTCTCTTGATCACATTAGGTAGTGTCAAAGAAAGAAGAAGAGGAGTTAAGAGGAGGATAATAGATGGCTAAGTATATAAGCATTAGCATTAGCACCACCGGCATTCCCATCACGATCATCGGCGGCGGTGGGAGCGGCGGCAGAACGGCTGGAAGCACCGTCAAAAGCACCATCACCACCCCGATCACAAACATATATACCGATGATTTTTTTGTTATATTTATGTAATTCTCTTTTTCTTCCGGCAAATTTTGGCTTTCGATGTACCTGCACATGTTTTTGTGTTTGTGTATCTATAAATTATAATGTCATATAGGTTTTTCTAAAACTTTTTTTTTGTATGTTTAAGTTCGTTTTGCTTTTTATGTGTGTGGGAGAGAAAGACGTTACAGCTTACAGGTGAAGCTCATGCACTGAGCAGCAACAATTACCTATTCAGCCAATGACAAAATAAAAATGAAAATTGTGAACATGCGTGTGGTAGCTGGAAACAGAGATATAGCTGACACGTGTGAACATGCGTGTCTTAAGTCTTAACGCCCATTTTTCCCTGTCCCATGAAAATGAAACTGTCCAATCTTTAAAATATAGAAAGTTCTTAAACACCAAAATTCGAAAGTTCTTTAACCACCAGAAATTGGAATTGACACGTTCATTGCATCCTCTCACCGAAAGCACAAGATGTCAAATTACTCATTTTACCATAAACAGGTAGCAAGCTTAAAGATAACAAAAATGGGAAAAGAGTTTAAGTTCAGTGCATATGCAAGGGAAATCGTTACGTCTTCTTCTCTTCTCTCCTCGTTAACGGTTCATTGTATTTCTGCTTTTCGTTTTCAAATCTAAAATAAATTTTGTGAAACCTCTGCCGTTAACTTTGACTTGTCTGTTGGCGAGACGAATTAAACTCACTAATTGGTGATAGTTGTTTTTTTTTTTTTAAAGCTCTCAAGCAAATCAGAAGCATTCTTTCTTCTTAACAAAACTCAGTATATTAAAATACGACTCTTTGATTGGTTCCCAAAAAAAGAGAGACTCTTACTAAAACTGGAGGATAACCAATTGTAGTTGACAAACGTAAACTTAAGCTTTAATTAAAAAAAAAAACATCATCAGTGAACTTTGTTTGATAAGTGTATAGGCGAAACAGTATATATGCCTTCAAAATTATAGAGCGGAAATTCGAGGAAAGCAAAAAATTAAGCAAACCAATCTCTTCGAGCATGATTTTAGATATTCAGCTGGCATCATTCAACAATTAAAAAAGGTTAGCAGATTTAAATCATCTTTACACGATTGAATATCATTTCATAGGACCCACTAAACTTCCCAATACTGTGTCGAGAGCCTAGCATTGTTACGTATAACAATGCCTCAAATAAGAAAAAAGAGAAAAATAACGAAAGACCATGGAGAAAAAATAAACTACTTAAAGATTATTTTCATGGTATAATCGACATTAATTCTACAACCTCCGCTTTGAGAAGAATCCTAATACAGCGCATGATTAAATGAAATATATTGATTTTAATAATTTTATTTGTATTAACATTAGAAATTTAGAATTTTAAGATTTTCCTATTAATAAAACTTAAACACTTAAAACTATTATATGTCTCTCTATTTAGTCTTCCATACTGATTAAAAAAGGGGTCATACCTATTTATTATAATGTTTGATTATTATGTTTGATATTTGTTAGATCATCTTCAACCCCATTGCATATTTGATACTCCCTCCGTTTCAAATTAGTTGTCGTTTTGGCAAAATGTACCTACAAATATTTGGACGTATCTGCAATGCAAAACACGTCCAGATACGTCCAAATATTTGCAGATACATTTTGTCAAAACGACAACTAATTTGAAACAGAGAGAGTACCAAATTCTATTTTGCAATAAAAACTGCTCTAATCCTACCTGGCTACCTAGCAAAATTGTAACGCTAAGCGAGAATTGATTCCATAATTAAACGAGTGACACGTTACACAACCATCCTATAAAATAAATGAAAGAGAAAAAAAGAACTCGAAATTATGATTTTGCATGTAAACTTCGGTAACGTATATTGAACAATCCAAGTTCAACTGAAAATTAGAAATCCGAAGATTGGTCCGATTGTTAAGAAGATTTGAGTGCTAACCGAGATTGGTCCGATTGTTAAAAAGATTTGAAATTACACTCAAAGTTTTACAATGAGTACTTTACAAGATCCGATTAAAACAAAGAACAAGAGAAACAATAAAAGACAAAAGACAAGAAAAGGGTATGAATCCGAATTCAAATGAAACTGCATGGATTCACAATTATCATCAGATGTAATAAGAAACCAAAACCCATTGAACGACGACGCATTTACATTTTTGCGTGTGTCGTCTGGATCGAATCGACACATTGTCTCTTGATCACATTAGGTAGTGTCAAAAGAAGAAGAAGAGGAGTTAAGAGCAGGATAATAGATGGCTAAGTATATAAGCATTAGCATTAGCACCACCGGGATTCCCATCACGATCATCGGCGGCGGTGGGAGCGGCGGCAGAACGGCCGGAAGCACCGTCAAAAGCACCATCGATCTTCAAAGACCGATCTGAAGGAGTAGTTGCATGCAGTAAAGTGGAAGGCTCGGTTCTGTCCCCACTAGCAGCGGAAGCTCTTGCCATCAGAGAAGCCCTCCTGGAAGCAAGATCAACATGATGGAATAGTCTCCGCCTCAAATCTAATTCTCAAACGCCTGTGAGAGTTATCCGATCAAACGACATTATAGCTGAAATTTATGGAGTGGAATCCACCTTTTAGCTTCTTCTTTTGTCTCGATCAATTTCGAATTCATATCGAGATCTAACAATCATCAGGCCGATTTGTTAGTAAAATCTGCTTTTTTTTGTTTGTAACGCCGAATGAGTGAAACCCGTTGAATTTTTCTATTTAGTGAAAGGATGTTCAAAAAAAAACAATTAAAACAATAAAAAAGTGATGTTGTAATGCCAAAGAAAATATTATAAGAAAATAAATCCTTAAGGAACAAATAATCTCTATAAGTACTTAACAATTAATCCATTTTGTTAAAAAAAAACAATTTAGTAAAAAGTGCATTTTAACAAAGTTCATACATTTAAACTATACACATTTTTGTTTATATTTATTTCCTAATTTGTGAGATCCATATCTTAATTTTAACAATACTTTTGTGTCTACTTGTAATTGTTACAGTATTATTTTGTGTTAACTTCTGGTAATTTGCATATATATATATATATATATATATATATATAAGTAATGCTTAATTATATTAAAGAAAATGAATGTCATAAATAACCAAAATATAGGTTGTTGCAATAGAAAAATGATAAAATTAATAAACGAAAATATAGACGGACGTTTGACATAGCTAGGCATTAGCGTGGCGACTTAAACTATTTGCCATTTATGTGCTTTTAGATGGCTGAAGCCGTAAGGAGGGTTGGTGAATTTAGAGGAGAGAGTGACAGAGTGTGCTTGATACTTTGAATCTGAATCTAGTCGTACTAAGTGTATTTATTTCTTCTTATTCCATATACATTTAACCCAATTTATTGCAGTTGCCCGTTTTCATTTTTTTCTTGACTAAAATAGTTAAAATACAATATATGGTAATATTAGTTTTCTGACTAAAATAGTTATTAGTTTTAGTTGTCAAAAAAAAAAAATAGTTATTAGTTTTTTTTTACGTTTTTTTTATAAATGGGTTTTTACGTTTCTATATGATCATCCAAATATTTTAATTTACAAATAACCTTTTCATTATTTAAAAAAACCAAAACTCTTTCTCTACAACAGTCTTTCGCTAACACCACCCCAGCAGGTATTTTCTTTCTAGTATCAGTTTTGTGCGTCTTGTTATTCTGGATCTCTAAATATATTTCTTTGTTTTTATTTTTCTAAGAATTTTTATGACGATGTAGTCGCGTAGATGATAAATCTTCTCTCTACTACCGTGAGTGTTTGGATTACATCAAGTGATTCAATATCAGTACGTGGTAATAATATAAGTTTCAGATTTTACTCTATCGACATTTATGGTTTTCGATAAACAGAAAATCAATAAAAATTGTTTCTTTTCTCTCCTTTTTTCTTTTCATGTTGGTTTACTTTTGTACCGTTCTATCTTGTACAATAGAGTGTTTTGTCTCGGATGGTTGGTAAGCTCCCGTCAAACTGTTGGTTGGCATTGTTGATATATTTCTTGTGTTTTTTTTGTTAGATGAAAGCAATGCTTAAGATTTTAGTTAAGTTCATTTGTTTAAAATATTTTTTTGATAAAATATTTGTTTAAAATATAAAGAGTGTGCTTTATTTATTTATATACATAAAAAAGGTTCGCTTATTCGATGATTGCTCTTTTAGTGTAAGTGTTAGAGACTTGTTTCTTAGGCAAGTTGGGATCATATATAACGTTGTTGATTGTCTCTTACAATTAGTTTTCTGTAGTTTCATTCATAAGGTCATCTTTATTTACCAGCCCATCACTTTTTTTGCTCGTTGCTAAAGCTCTAAACTTTTTTTCTATATGATTATATTTGTTTGCTGAGTAATATATATGTATGTTCAAATTACAATTTTTTTAAAAATTGTTATATGCCACACTTCGGAATCCATAGAGTTCCAAACATTTGACTTTCTGTTGGAATATTTGAGTTTGTAGTTACAACGAGCACATTCGGTGTCTAGGGATTTTATGATGAATCACACGTAATCATCACTTCACGTCGTTTCAAAGTTTATCTGAACCTTTTTTTCCTTTTCCCAAATGTATCCCTATGGTTACGATTAAAACCCTTAAATTCAAGACAAACATAAAAGACCAGAATTTCAAGACGTAAGCATTCAGTCTCATTTGTATGTATAGGTTCAGTGGATCTGGTTTTGTTGGACGAATTTAAATTCCTTCTCCTATGCTTTTTGTTTTGTCGAAAGATAGAGACTCGATAAAGCGAAGAAAAACTTTCTTTAATCATTTATAAAATAATTAAAATTCTTTTTGTTCTTATTTATCTTTTCTCCTTGAATGGGGTCAAATCTCCTTTTGTTTCGTACATTGTCTAGAATCTCACCCACACTATTTCCCCGGATAAATTAAATATCTTATTTAGCACAGCATCAATAAAATGTAGTCCAAATTTATGCGAACCAACAAAACTTTCGTGATAGCCCGATTGAATTTGAAAAAGTTTTCTTTCTAACCCACTTGTTGGAAAATTGGAACGTAGTGTGTGAATAGATGCATGCATGATCTCTTTAGGAAATTAATCCATCCTTCTTTTGAAATTAACATACTTTCTTTCGAAGCTAACATAGTTCGTTGTGATATATCATTAGTTCATTAGACCGACGATAATGCTCATCCCCACACTAGTTTTTTATACTATAAGTCTATAATTCACATATTCTTTAAACAATCATGAGTTCTTTTACTCGCCAGCCATCGTGCCTACAAGTCAAATATAACTTTTCCACATGCTTTTTCACTCCGAAAATTGTTAGCACATAAACAAAATGTTGCAACACAAAATTTCTATTTGAAGAGATCAAGTTTTTTTTTTTAGATTATTTATGAAAAAAATAGTAAAACGACAAGTTTGAGGAGAACGATCATGTTTTTCAAAAGGTAATCGACGTAAGAAAGATCTAAGACCACAAACAAAAACTTAAGATAAGAGCTTAAAATCCGAATTCACTTTTGACCATGTTAAAAGAATCTAATTTGTTTGTCAATGACTAGTGAACAGATGGCACATCCATTTAGTCTGTCTCAGACAAGACCATTCTCAGTGTTCCAATGTAATTATTCGAGTCATAATAAGTAAGCAAAAAAAATATAATATTCTATGAACAATGTCTTTGATACCATGTTGTAGTGTTGCAGTGATCACGTAACTGACATTTTAACCGGGATTATCAAATATTGGTTCCGGCCTAATGTTATGTCTACCATTTAATATTAATTCTTCTTCATATTTGGTTTTTTTATATAGTTAAAAAGTTTACTTTAACGACCATAGCTTGACCCATTTTGGTTTAATTAGTTTATTATCTAACACGATTGTATAATTTTGAAGATTAGTTGAATATATTTTCTAAATTAGAATCCGAACTTAAACGAAGATTGGTTTCACTTCAGTTTTCAAACCAAGCTAAATTTCGGGTTACATGCATTACTTTGTAATTTTTAAATACGTCAATATTTAATTTACCGAGAAAGTGTTCTCTGTGATAACAAAAAATGTAAAGAGACGGGTTTTTTTTGTTTCTCACAGGTTTGGAAAAACAGTCGTTGAGTTAAGAAAAAGAAGGAAATGGCGATAATTTAGATATAGCATGAAGGCTTCCAATCGTTTTCATAAATATGGAGTATTCTACCATTCATAATGTGGCGCTGATAAACTAGATTCTTCTACGAAATACGAAACAAAGCAGAAATAAAAAGTATAAAACGAATTGGATTTTTTTTTAAAAGAGAAGGTAATTAAAGACTAAGTCTACAAGAATTCCTTCTAAAACAAATCTCGGAGATCTAACACATGACATGATGATACTTGCACGAAACTAAAAGTCCTTAATGTGCTCCTTACACACACTGACACACACATGTAAAACACACTTATACATATTTGTGTAATGTGAAAGTACGGTGCGCAAGTCGGTGACATCAGGAGGAGTCAAGAGATTCTGCGTCGAGGCTGGGCTCGTTAGAAGGAGAAAAAGCCAAAAAAAGCAGGAGAATCATGAGGAGGAGAGGGAGGAGAAGGAGTGTTGCTGGAGGCGGTGGAAGCGGCGGAAGGAACGGCGGTAGAATCAGAAGAGACATAGAGAGAAAGAGAAGAACTCCGACGGTTCTCGCCGTGATCAAAGAACTTCCGGTCAAACTCATTGGCTTTAGCGTGACTTCAAATCTCAGCCGTTGGTCATGCTCATGCACTCTCATCTTCCATTTATGCAAACAAAAATTAGTCTTTCTCTTTTGTTTTATGTTTTAGATCCTTTCGCTCTTGTCTCTGGCTCTACTTATATAGGTGGGAAATTGGGAAAGTGGAATATCTGTCTATATATATGTGTATACGTGTATGTATCTCCTGTTTTTTTTCAGACCAAAAAATCTTTCCACATCATTTTGTTTTATTTTGTGAATTGCATTTAGTTGTTTTGAGAATCTTGACATTGCGAAATACTTTTCACTTTGTTAATAAATTGACCCTGTCCAAGTAAATAAGAGGGAAGGGCTAGCTGTTTTTGGTGGCCAAGTTACAATAACTAATTAACACTATAGTCCACCGAAAAAAATGTTAGACAGATTAATTAGGAAGTTTTTGATTTTGCAGTAGGTGGAAATAAATGCATGTCAAGTAATATGCAAAAAGGGTAATTCCAAAGTGCCGGTTTCAGGTCACAGCTGTGATTTATGTCTACATGTCTTGATTCAACTAATTTCACTCTTCTCCCTTGTTTTACTCTCTTTTCTCTTTTTAAAAACTCTTTCGTGTTTGTTGCATCAACCATCTTGTTACTCTTTATAATAAGTACTGATTTAGTGTCTATTATAATAAGTGCTGTTTTATATTGTGTCTTTTTCAGCTTTACAAAGAGTTTCTTTCTACATTTTCGATAAAAAGTAAAAACGGATTTAGTTAATTTAAGTTCTTTATCCAAAAATAAAAATCAAGTTACTTGGATTGAACTTCTAGAAGATTAAAGGGATATAAAAGTTTAACAAATATTTTAACTGCAAGCAACGAGAAAAAGGTAGATGCATGAACATCTCAAGCTTAAGATGTTTATAGGTACGTTGACGGTGACCGGAGGCTGATGTACTTTTCTGTACATTTTTTGTAGTTTCCATTGAAGTCCTTTGTCTAAAATTCTCCTTGAAAAAATCATAACTTCCTTTCAACCCACACAAAAACCACAAGCTTACATAAAGCAAAATACTACATTTATAAAATTAAATTATCTTTATACAAAATATAGCATTTTCGAATTTAAATCAAGTTGGGTCGTGCCTATAAAAAGATTGACAAATTCCCATTCCTCATACATTTTGAATATGGAGAGAATGCATTGCACCTAACTGCACTATTTTACATGCTTTTCCCGTGAAATTTGCATTTCTTTGGTATAATTATTATTTGACCATTTCATTATTTTCAACTTTATCTATTTTAAGTAGTTTCATTTTTTGTTTGGTCCTCTCTTTCCTAGCTTGGTAGTAGGCTTTACAGCTTCGTTGATGCAGTCGTCACAGAAAAGTTATTGTTCCCTGTTGCAGTTTTTTGCTATAGAAAAAACAATGTAACAATGGTAAGAGACACTCTTTAAAAAGGAGTTCAATATTTGATAATTTCAATCTTTTTGTTTTCTTTTAACAACATATTGTACATTACACGTTAGTGACAATACTAGATAATACAAATAAACGAAACGAAAACTAAAATGTACTTAGATTAAAACAGCGTTCTGTCGGACAAGTAACACAAAAGTCACTTATAATCATGTCTCATACAAAAATATAATGTATATAATATATAGAAATATATGCATACCATAAAATGATACAAACTTTGTATTCTTATCTTAAAATTGTGTATTCGTATATATGCACAATTTCATTAAATTTTTGGGCCAAAATTTGTGTTTCCAATGAAGGCCCAAAATTTGATCATTCAACTAATCTGAGTCGTTAGATCAAGCTCTGAACTACTATTACCATTACTATCGTTAGCTGGTAAGAGTATTATGGTCCTCTAATACTGTGGTTCATTTTATCAGTAAACTGTGTTTGTGTGGTTTCCCCTATAAATAAGAAAACTTGAACATTAAAAAGTTACAGAAGTGTTTTCCGATACCTTTTTTTTTTTGCCGAATCTATAGTGCCGGTGATCGAATTCTCCTTTGATGATATAATATATACACTACAAGATCTAGGGATAACCATGGATTACATAAAGCATGTATCTTAACGGTTCTTAACTCATCAACCGTCAGGACCGACTTATAATAAGTGCACAAAGCATCTAACGCTTTCACTCTATAACAAAACTTCATGTTGACATGCAACATTTACATATAGTACAAAAACAAAACCTTCTTGCTTAGGCAGAAGATTCATACTATCGACATCGAGTTTAAAAGAGAGACAAGAAAATACCAAATTACATATTATTTATTGAATTATGTAAACGAGTTTCCACATTTCTCGTACAAGTACAACAACCTATCACTTAAGTCTTCGGAATTCAGATTGCAATTATCAAGTTGGAGATGCAAAGTGTAAAACAGTCTCTCTCCTTGAGAACTTGAAGATGAAGCATCCACAAGAACAAGCCCATCTTCTTCTAAACCACTCAAAACATTCCCAAACGAACACTTCTCTGTCATTAACGATGAAAGTTGGACCATTACTTCAGTCTCACCGAGCCTAGTCGCAGAAACTGTTGATGCATAGCTTGTGACCCCTTTTTTCTCTGGCGTACCGTTTTGGTTGGTGTAAACGAGATCTCTTTGACCCGAGATTTGAAACGAGAGCTCGTCTTTCTTTTTCATGAGCTTCTTGACTTGCTCTTGCAGCTCTGGTATGTACTTCAATGCCTGTGAAACTGTTGCGGAAACACTTAACTTCTTCTGCAAGAATACACAGAAAACAGATATTTCAGCTTCCGACTGTTTTTTGTTTTCAACATCTCACTATTTTTATCAACTTCCAAATTGCAAAAGCGAAATAATTTTTTTTTTTAGAATTTGAAGAAAACATTTTTTTATAAAAAAAACCTTAACTAAAAATGTTGCTTTTGTTTGTCTGTTAAATGTTTAAACAAATAAATTCCAGTGCACATAAACGAAAGTATTATTACTTTCCGAATTGAAAGTAACTAAAGAAACATATTCGAATTGTCAGTTACCGATTGATCGGACGCCGGAAGACAAGAACGGAGAGATGAGAACATTGCGTTGATCTTCTTGCGACGATCACGCTCGCTAGCGTTGTGGTTAAGTTTCCTCATCACGACAGGATTCTCTAACTCTAATATTCTATTTTTCTCCGATGACACGTTCTGATGAGCGACCGGCGGCAAGTCTGGCAACGGAAAATCAAGAAAGGGGTTGGTTACGTCGTCTTTTTCGTAGAAGCTATGATCTCCGCAAGGCCAGCCGAAAGTGGGAAATAAAGGAGGGACAAGTGCACACATTCTGGGTTTTTGAAAGTTAAAGGTTTTGTTTTTTCTCTCTAGAAGCTGTTTCGGCTGAGACTATGCTGGTGAGTTAGTTGGATTAGATTTATGTCTCGCTCATTTATACTGTATTTATATGTACACACACACGGATACAAATATGGAGTAGAGTATATATCTATGTTGTATAAATACAAAGTATACTATTATCCGTGTGAAGAAATTAAACTAATACTATAGGGAGAAATATATGAGTCACGAGTGGACATGCGTTGACACGTGGTTGAGCATTTTCTCCCCAAGCAGGAGCATGTCCCACAAATGCATGATATACAACTCTTTGATGAGACATTAAAATCTAAATCCCTGACAGAAACTTTATTTTAACGATTTATAATAGTGAAATTTACTAATTTGGTCTAGTTTATAATAGTGCTAGCTTCGTATTTTTATTTTTTCTTTGGAAATAATTAGTCTTGTATTATAACTCGAAATTAAATCCAGTAATAAATCTTAATTTGTGAGTAAGTTAAAGTTTAGTGAAGTGTAATTAGATATATGAAAATGTAATAATCTAGTAATGTAGGTGAAAGGAAAGAAAATGTAATAAGCGCTGGGAGGAACATGAGGGATACACGGGTTTGGTAGACGTGGAATGTTGAGAACCACGTGCAAATCACGTGGAATATGTTAAGGCTTTCTCCTGATTACGAACATATCTATGTAGTAGCCAGTAAGCATGTCCTGTTGTTATATTTAACAAATGTAGATTGCTTATTTAAATCTAATAATGTATTAATTAATTTAAAGTTTTATGGTGTAGTGGCTAACGTTTCCAGTAATTTTTTTAACCTCTGCAATCATACCAATACAATCATTATCAAGTATAGAGGTCAACTCCGGTCATCTTGAGTAGTGGGCAAAAACTAGACTTCTAGTGGTGGACGAGGAGAAAAGACGACGGCGATATTTACGATTTCTGGTCGCAAATTTTACTTGGGCCATTTAAATCCTAATGGGTTTTTTTAAGATGATGGGCTCCAAGATTATACCCTTACAAAACCTAGGTTATGGTTAGTGCGTGCAAGATTTTATACACTACTCTTTCAGCGACTCTGCCTCTGGATCACATAGCCTTCACGCCTAGTAAAGCAAATGAGAAAAATATCAAGATTAAGAAACATACGTTAGAGTGTTCCTCAAGTGTATGCAGAAGTAACAGCGGAGATAAAACATGTTCCGTATTATAAAATTTACCAATGTGACTACAAAGATTATACTTCTTAGTTCTTACATTGTCGAGGTTCACGTCGTACGTAACTTTCATTATAAACGAATGCCAAAAACAGTACAAGAATTTATGTTCGGATCAAGAACGATCCTGAAGCTTTATTGATCTTTTTATTATAACATATTGTTTTCTGCTTTTTTTACACAAGCGGCAACATATATCACACACATCATACAACAAAACATAAACTCCAATGTACATAAAACTGCTCACAAAAAAAGAGCTAAAAAAACTGAAGCCTGAACATGTCTGAACCATATTTCTCTCATATGCTTCTCCTTCAGACCTTGACTCCTATCCGTTGAGCAACCTGCATAACAAAATCAAAAACATTAACTTCAAGTTACATATGATTCTAAACTCTTGCAAGATTTGAAGAAACAAGAGAGATTCGTTTACCTCTTTAAACGAAGTAACTTCACTTCCCCATAGCCAAGCGTCACAGCCTGCGTCTCTAGCACCCCATACATCGTTCCTACGATCATCTCCTACATGAACCGCCTCCTCAGGATTCACTCCTAACAATTCACAAGCTTTCAAGAAAATTGTCGGGTTTGGTTTCTCCGCTTCAACCTGTGAAGCAAATCAAAACAGTTTTGATGAACACTTATTCCCAAAAGGTTTCAGATCATCAACCAAAAGATATAAAAATATTACTTCTGCTGAAACAGCCACAGCATCAAACCAGTCTTCGCATCTCAATGCTCGTAAGAGAGGTCTTAATCGAGTGTCGAAGTTGGACACAATTGCAACTTTTACACCAGCTTTCTTAATAGCCTTGAACACTTTCTCTGCCTCTGGATCACATAGCTTCCACGCCTAAGGTAAAGCAAATGGGACATATATCAAGAGAAAGATACAAACTTTAAAATGTTCCTCAAGCGTATAGTAGCTGAGATCAAACCTGCTCCGTAGTGAAGTAGCTGTAAAGCTCTTCAAAGTACTCAGAATCAGAACATCCTGTTGATGCAGTCACTATATACTGCCAGAAAGGTCTCGCATCATTCACATATCTGCAAACATATCCATCAAAACAAGAACATCACAAGAGTCAGTTTTAAGAGCTAAATGCCAATCTATGTGAAATTTGGCATTCAAACAAATAGAAAACAGCACAAGAATGGTAATTTTCTTGGGAGAGAAGAAACACACTAAGTGGAAGATGATGATACCTAAGATGAGATCCGCCCCATGGTTTCTGATAAGCTCTTCTGTATCTAAAAAGTATCTCAGCTTCTGAGTACTCAACTCCATACTTCTCTCCGATACTCTTGTATATCTACAGAATCAGAGTCCCAAACAGAGGTTATAATTTTCAGAATCGAAAAATTCAATCTCTTAATCTTCTAGAAACAATCAGAGATCATGTTACAACATGTAAGCAGCTCGCATTCCAAAATTCAAACAATTTGCGTCGATTGCTTTCAATTTATCTTAGCCAAATTCAAAATGAAACTTCAAATCTAATCGAACTTAAAATCAAAACAAATTTCGATCGAATCGTTCTCTGTGAATTTCTACTCGGAAATCAAAATCTGTGAAGCATTTTTGCAACCGTTAGATCACGAGAAATCGACAGACCTGGGCCGTAGGTTGGGCGGGAACAACGAGAGTACCAACGGCATCGACGAGCAACGCTTTATGTGTGTATTCACCGTAGAGAGATCTCCTGTAATCGTCGTACTCTTTCAACACACCTCCCAGCCCGTAAATCCCACCAGATTCATCATCCGCCACAACAGCCGAAGACGACGCAGCGGAAGAGATCCCGCGGCTGAGCAATGCTCCGGTTCTCGCGATCCGGTCTGATCCGTGAGAGATCCCACCGGAATTGCAGAGACGAGACTCGCCGGAAATGGAGAAGAGAAGTGTCGCTGCCTTCCTGATTCGTGACGCCATTCTCTCTATCTATATGATTGTTTGTTTGTTCCGTTCTCTTCGTTTTTCTCGAGATTATAAATGCGATTGAAAAGGAGAAGATGCGTGCGGAGAATCTTTAACGAAAATCGGATGTGATATTACGGTCATGCCCTTTTCTAAATTATCCTTTTCTGGTTTTCTACTTTCTTATCCTATCCGTTTCCGAGGAATTGATGATGTGGCATTTTGTTAGTGTCTGTTAAATATTGTTCCGTCATGATTTTTCAAGTAACAAAGCTTTAGGCTGTAAATTTGTTATCCTTTTATAAAAGAAAAAAAGAAAAGAAAGAGTGACAGTGAGTGTTGTTGAGTGGGAATATCGTTAAGCTTCTTTTGAATAAAATTGTATCATTGAGAAAGAAAGAAAAAAAGTGGGACATTGGGCCCTGACCAATTATATGCCATGCAAAGTAATACAAGGATACAAATTGAGAAACGGTCGATTCTAGAGGGACCTCTTACGAATACGTGGCTTGAAACTTCACAAAACGGGCCCACATGTTAATAAATATGGGCCACACCCAATAATGGATAACTTGATTGACTATTAACAGAGGCAGAATCCACTCTCCATCACCACATATTTGCTTAGGGAAATGCTTAACTCCACAAAATTTATGAATCCATTTTCCTGAGTTTAGTTTATTTCATGAATGTTCGGTTGTTCACATATGGAAGAACGAATTGAATCAGGTTCGGGTATGTATTTCTTCGGATTTTGAGGATTTACTGAGTCCCTTTAGCGAACTTTTGACGTATGTTTTGAAATGTTACGAAAATCTTGTATTCTTCTACTTATTCATGGATGGGAGAGACTCCATGTTAAAGAAATGTTAGACGTATGATTTTTTTTTCATTAGTGTATGCAAAATCAGGTTGTATATGCTTTTCTCTAAACATAATATACTTCCAACTAGTTTTGATTATACAAATCCGATAACATACGTCTGATTTAATGGGTGAATAAAGTCTGAAGATAAGGAAACAGAAGTCCAGAACTGGACCCCTTCTGGAGAATTTTGAGTTCCATTGCACTAATGTTCAAAAACGACGTAACGTCGTTAATACTATCTTTTTTGTGACCAGGGAAATTCATTTGATTATCTTACCTCATATAGACCGTATACAAAACATGATCTGTAATTACTTGTCTGGAATTTTGGTGATGTCAATAGATGGGAAAGATAAATTCTGTTACAAAAACAAAAGAGTCAATGAAGTAGTTTTCAACTAATCAATAAGATGAACTAGATCCTGGCCCAGTGAGACTGTATGATATATTATATATCCATGTTGGTGTCGACCCATAATTCCTCTTGTTTTTCTTGGTGGAGTTAAGAGTATACTCTCTTTTTGTTGTGGAATCTTTAACTGATCACATTACATTTACATGAATATGCCTTTCTTTTTATAGGAAAGTGTTGCACATGTACTTCAAAGTAGCAAACATTTATTTAGAAGGAAAAACTATGTCCAATTGATCATAGATTAAATCAACTGAAGTCTTCGAAAAAATAAACGAATGTTTCATTGTCCAAGCAAGCGGTTGATCAATGTATTGTTTTCCGAAACGTAAGAAATAGTGGGATCTTTAGTGAAATTGAGTATATAATGTTGTAAGCTAGCAAGGGCCCAAGGCTTCTAATGAAAGGTGCTTGTCTCGAGATTAGACAGTGGTTTGGTTTGACAATACTGAATGGCAGTTTGATCGGGAAAGACCGGGTTGGTTCATATTGTTATCCGGTTTCTAACTTCTTTTTTTCCCTTCATTTTCATGATTTTACCAAAAGAGGAAGAGTTTGAGTTGGGATTGTGTGATTGCTTTTGGAATGTATTGAAGGACATTATCCTTTCGAACGGTGTGGGTTGTCAAGTCTAAGAGTTGGACTTTGTGGCAACTGTTTCGACACGTGTAAGCACCAGGTTATGTAGAGAGCATGGCATTTACACATGGAACCACATAGAAGAGTTTAGCTGTCGAGTGCATGACTGCATGTAATGGCTTTCAACGTTCAACTTTTGTTATGTTTTTTTTGGCCAGAAGCAAGTGCGGGTATTTGACATATATATATAATTACAATAACATAAATGTATACTTTATATTTGGAACATATCCACTATCCAGTATCTAAAGAACTGCTAGTCGACAAGAAAATATTCATTTGAAAATGTGATATTTGATTATATTTTTTCACTGGTAGTGACCAAGAGATAGATGATATTTATATTTTGCAACATAGTTTTATTGAACATCATATTCCGTAATCCGTGATCATTAATTGTATTGTGCAATCTCTTAACTCGTCACTCTTATTTTGCAAGTCATTGAAAAAGAAAAACAAAACAGTGCTATTACTGGTAATTAAGTTCTAAGAAATGGAGAATATTCATATCATCTTGACCAGAATTTGTTCACGAAAGATATAAGAAATTTTATCACTAAAACGTAACTAGACGAAGAAGCTATATATTAAGCGTAGAATATGTTAGCATCAAAGCTTAATCATAATTAAAGTAATATCGGATGATGATTATTAGTTAGTGGTTACGTCTGCTGAGACCAATATTAATCAGCACGAATGTGGTTATTTGCTTTAGTTTTTGCATTTTCTGTAAATCGTATAAATTATTTTTCCCCATAAATATGTATGGCATTATCTTCCCTCACTCGGCATAATTGACTGGTCTCTTGTCGCCATGTTTTGCAGCCAACTATAAATAGATGTGCATGCATCATACACTCTTCAGTCCACTACCAAAAACATATTCCCTCACAACAAACCAAACAAACTAACATGGTAAGCCTGAAGTATCTCGCTCTCCTGGCTTTGCTCTTTTCCATCTCCCTCGCTGTTTTTGCCGACACATCCAACAACGATGCCACAAAAGGTATGTAAAAACTCTATTCAAAACTTCCCTTTTTTACACTTCGGCGGCACGTAACTGATGATGGAATTTTTAATCCATGGTATGAATAAACCAAACGTGCAGCTAAGGATGAAGTGAAGCCAAGTGAAGCAACCGATGTAATAGAGCCAGAACAACGTGGAGGTGGTGGAGGGGGTGGAGGTGGTGGTGGCGGCGGTGGCCGCTGTAGGTACGGATGTTGCGGATCCTGGCGTTATGGGCGGTGCACCTATTGCTGCAGACAACCCCAGGCTGCGGAAGCCGAAACTGAGGCCAAGGACGTTGTTGTAGAGCCAGAAACCAAGGACGTTGTTGTAGAGCCAGAAACCGAGGCCAATGACGTTGTAGTAGAGCCAGAACAACGTGGAGGTGGCGGAGGGGGTGGAGGTGGCGGTGGCCGATGTAGGTACGGATGTTGCGGATCCTGGCGTTATGGGCGGTGCACCTATTGCTGCAGACAACCCCAGGCTGCGGAAGCCGAAACTGAGGCCAAGGACGTTGTTGTAGAGACAGAAACCGAGGCCAAGGACGTTGTAGTAGAGCCAGAACAACGTGGAGGTGGAGGAAGGGGTGGGGGTGGCGGTGGCCGCTGTAGGTACGGATGTTGCGGATCCTGGCGTTATGGGCGGTGCACCTATTGCTGCAGACAACCCCAGGCTGCGGAAGCCGAAACTGAGGCCAAGGACGTTGTTGTAGAGACAGAAACCGAGGCCAAGGACGTTGTAGTAGAGCCAGAACAACGTGGAGGTGGAGGAAGGGGTGGGGGTGGCGGTGGCCGCTGTAGGTACGGATGTTGCGGATCCTGGCGTTATGGGCGGTGCACCTATTGCTGCAGACAACCCCAGGCTGCGGAAGTCGAGACCGAGGCCAAAGACGTTGTTGTAGAGCCAGAACAACGTGGGGGTGGTGGCGGTGGCCGTGGCCGCTGTAGGTATGGATGTTGCGGACCCTGGCGTTATGGGCGGTGCAGCTATTGCTGCAGACAACCCCAGGCTGCGGAAGCCGAAACGGAGGCCAAGGACGTTGTTGTAGAGCCCCAGCAAGGATGGTGGGGTGGTTGTAGGTTCGGATGTTGCGGTGGCTATTTCTTTGGACGGTGCAATTTCTGTTGCCTCCAACCACAAGCCGTGGAGGCTGTCGGGGCCCAAGCTGTTGAGCCTCAGCAAAGAGGTCGTCGTCCTGGATGTAGGTTCGGTTGCTGTGGAAGCTACGCTTATGGCCAGTGCAGTGCTTGTTGTACACAGAAGATGGCTACTGACGAAGAGAAGAAGAAGGAATCTTCTACTGACGCAGAGAATAAGAAGGAAGAAGCTAAGCCATGAGTTGGCGTGTAACACAAACTCTATGTTTGTATGCATGCAATGCATGGTTTATTACTATATACGTATGCTAAAATAAAAGAGAAATGGTGCCTAAGAAGGTATCTAGCTCAATAAAGAAGCCATAGGTTCATATAATATGTATTTTGTTATGTAATGTTTCTCTCGTGAAGATTATAATAATAACAACTGTTCTAATATCAAATCATGGACTGTAAATGTCTTAAAAGTACTAAACTATGAAAGTGTATCTAGCACAATAAAAAACTATAAGTTCATAAAAAATGGTATTATGGAGATTTATTATCCGAACTAAACTTGAACCAAACTAGACTATAAAATAACTGAAATGCAATGGAAACTCGCAAACCGAATTTAATGTCGAAACAAATTCGTACACTTTGTAACCGAATAGATTAAGTGATTAACCAAAATTTATTTTTAGAAAACTAATATTTTAAATTAGATATGAAAAATAAATTTTATTTAAAATCAGTTAATTATTTTCTTTTTTATTTTAACCTTTTTTTTACTATAACAGGTTAAATACTTTGAAACTGAATTAAACCAAACTAAAATATAATTTAATATGATTTGATTTGATAAAATTTACTTTCTAGAATCCAAAAAAGTGAAACTTAAACCAAATAAAAGTATCAAACTATCCGAATAGTTTAGTCCTGAATAAAACATTTCTTCTAGAACCTGAAAAACCTAAAACCTTGAATAAACCGAATCTCCACTCCTAATTTTAGAATTTATACATGCCAGCAAAAGGAGTATTCACCGATCCAACCCATAGAGTTCCGTCGTCTCTCTCTTCCAACTCACTTATGGACATCCATTTATTTCCATTCTTACCCTCGAAGACCTCTGTTATCACGCCACTACCCTCGCTCAACCTCACGGCCATCCCGTTCCCTTTGTACTTGGCCCAATACGAATGTACCTTCATCCAGTCCACCGGCAGGCTCAAAGCGGCACGACCTAGCCACGGGTTTGACATGCCGATCTCTGTCAGCTTTGAGTGTTTCGTATTCAGACCTACCCAGTATCCGCCACGTGGACTCTTCTTTATGTTGTCGGGAAACCCTGGGAGCCGGTCGGCGAAAACCTCGTAGCCCTCGAGAGATTTAGAAGCCGACGACGTGTCGTTTAGCCTGTAACGTAGGATTCGGCACGTGATAGTCTCAGCCACGAGAAGGTAATCGCCGGTTTCGCTTAGAACGACGCCGTTTGGGAACCCTAGGTTGCTTAGAAGAGTTGTCACTTGTTTCGTGTTTGGGTCGTACTTCATTAGTCTACCGGTTCTGTCCGAACTCAGCATCGCCCCTATATAATTTCTGTAAGTAAACAAGGTCAAGTGTTCAAATAATTATTTTTTTAACGATAAGATAAAGTGTTTTTTTTTTCTTTCATTTCAAAAGTTATAACAATAGTACTATACGGTATATCTATATGCACGTCTATGTTTTCATAAAAGCATGCTTTAACTCTCTTTTTCAGATGATTTTTTTCTAATCAAAGATAAGATGATTAAATTTCTCACAATTTTACCTCCGTTGATAAACCGAACTACTGTCGGTAAAGTAGATAACTCCGGTGCGTGGATCGATATCCAATGAGTTGGTAAACGTGAGGGGCTCATCCAGCTGATCTGTCACTATCTTGTTGGCTAAGCCACCTTCTGGGCCAACTTCAAGAAGGCCCATATAAGCATCGGCGATATAAAGATTACTAGTGGACTTGTCAAAAGCCAGGCCCAATGGTCGACCGCACACGTGCTCCGTTCGTTGGTGCTCGTGCGGGCCTTCACAGCCTTCTCTGCATTTAAACAAAACTGAAAACGTAAATAGCCAATCGAAGTGTAAACTCCATTGTCATTCGTTATGCAATTCTTTATAGCAAGCCTGGACCACCAGAAAAGTCAATAACACATTTCCTATCTTAAAAATAGGGTCGTTCACTCATGCCTAATCAGATTCAGGAGTAGTAAATGAAAATATGGCAGCAATTTATATTTTGTTACTCATCCTTTAGCTGTTTAAATTTGTTATTTTTATAAATTGCAACGTTTCACAACACATGCGTGAAGACACATCAGAGAGAAATTGAAAAAAAAAATTAAAGAAGGAATTAAGTATTTTTTGGGTAAAAAAGAAGCAATTAAGTTGCGTAGTCAAAATGCATATATATGCACATGCAATCGAGGTTATAGAATCCCCTCAATATGGGAACTTCACATGCATGCCAAAACAACAATTTGTGATTTACATATATCTTTGTAATTTATAACAACGAAGTTGACCACGTGAGAGTTGAAGTACATATATTTTTTGTTAAAGAAAGTTGGAGTACATATGCAGAAACAAAAGAAGTACGATTCATTCTTTCTTCTAAGTTCTTAATAATTGTGTTAGATTAAACGATTAAACATTATCAGCCAAATGTATTCGTTCATTGTTAGAATTTTCAAAGAAGATACTTTCACTATTCGAATAATTTAATCAGCAATTTTGATTGGACAGAAGAAGTTGGTGGATACAATTGAAGGAGTTAAAAACCACAACGAAAAAGCCAAAAACAAAAAATGACCAAAGGAGAGAGTACTATTGCGTACCTTGTTGGGGTGGTGACGGCGAAATCGATCCAACGGCTCTCATTAGCTAGCCACTTAACAATCCGACCATCAGATAAACCGGTGTAAGGACCTTCGCCGGAGAAATCGAACACAAAACTCTCCGGTCCCGAAGCTCCGGTGGTTGGAATCAGACGGAATTCAGGGAGATGGACAGTCAACATTGACTCTCCATGTTTTGGACTCTCGCTGGTAAAATTGGCGATGCTAAAGAAAATCCCTGATATCACAACCAACGAGAGGAGTTTCATCACTTTCCGATTTTTTTTCCTCCACTATTGTGTGTCTTTGTGGTAAGAGCAATGGTTTATAACTTTATATATAAGGTGTCAGAAATAATAAATAGTTATCTTATACATGTCGAATTCGTGGCAAGAAATCTGGTAAACTAAATATCTTAGATTATATTTAATTTAATTTTTATATTCTTGGGATTTGTGGATATCCGTAATCCTGTTTGTTAGTTTTCTTTTGTCATCATCCATATGTTAGTTAGACTTATATGTTAAGCTTTTTTTCTTCTGTACAAACATTTCCTTCTTAATAGCTTTATGGGGAAAGATATATTTTCTTCTTTTGCTAACCAGACTGTCATGATAGCATGCATTCACCTACCTACTAAGTTTGATAAGATAGAAATTTTTTTGCCGTTTATGGAATGAGATCATAGGGAATTAAACAAAACATCGCTTTTCCTCTGCCTCAATTCGTGTATCAGTTAGATACACGACTTAAAGTTCCCATAATTTGTATTTAGTGAGATTGTTCTTTCTTTTTTTTCTCTATAAATAAAACAATAAAACAAAAATAATATTTATGTTTATGATTTGTGTTGCCTATTACATGTAGATGGCATGATTGCTTGCAAACACCGAAAACTGAGGGTCACATTCTCTTCATTGTATTTGTACTCAACTTTTTGGGCTATCTTTTCTATTTAGTTAGGATCAATTAAACAGGCTTTGGGTAAAGTGTAATCTGATATTCAACAAAAACAAGTTATATGTGGAAAATAATATTTTCCTGACATAGAAATTCAAAACTCGGATGAAAGTGACGTAACAATTTTTGAAACATTTGAAGAAAAAAATCAACAAAATGCAACGAGATCAACAATGCCCTGTAGAGAAACCAGCACCGATAGTGCTTAGCACTAGCCCAAGACCGTAATACCCGAGAAACCCGAAAGAAACAATAAACCCTCTAAGTATGAAGAGAAATATGGAAGAACACAAGAGAATACTTGAAAGACTTTTAAGAAGAACAAGAGAGAACTTAGCTTTAGAACACTCTTTATTAACTTGTTCAATTTCTTGTGCATTTACAAATGAGGGGGTGAGGAGGTATTTATAGCCTCCCAAATCTACTTACAAAGTTTCTACACTCTTCTATAACCTCCTTAGGTCCTAGATATTTCTTCTTCTTCTTCTACAACTTTCTACAAATTATCTTACAAGTTTATCCTAATCTCTAGAACTCTCTAACATAATATCTAGATTTCTTGTCTTACAAGAACTAGAAAGTTCTACATAAATATCTAGAGAGTTATCTAGTAGAATTCTCTAGAAAATTTGAGGAAGTGATGACCTCTTATGATGTTTCTAGAGAGTTCTAGAACTTGGGCCTAATTTTGGGTTTAATAATAATTTGTTTATGGACCCAAAATTAAACCTTGATCAAAATCAAGTTTAATTTCAATACTCCCCCTTAAACTTGATTTTATCAACCATCCCGAGTTTCGAGCGAAGTAACTCGAACTGACCTTTTGGTAGTGACTTGGTGAAGATATCTGCAACATTATCCTCACTTCGAACCTCCAAAGCTTCAATTGTTCCATCAAGCACCTTCTCCCGTATGAAGTGATGTTCCAACTCAATATGCTTCGTCCTTGCATGGAACACCGGATTGTTAGCCAGCTTGATAGCACTTTGGTTATCTCCATATATGGCAACCGGCTTGTTGATTGGCTCAAACAAATCTTCAAGAAGCCTTCGAAGCCAAATACACTCTTGGGCTGCGAGCGTCGAAGCTTTATACTCCGCTTCAGTGGTAGACAGCGACACCGTTGCTTGTTTCTTGCTGCACCATGAAACGCTTGTGTCTCCACACAAGAACACAAAGCCCGAAGTTGATTTTCGACCATCTAGATCTCCACCAAAGTCAGCATCCGTGAAGCCATAGAGAGAGACCTTGGCATTGTACTTGTACATTAGACCCATGCCAAGAGTTGTCTTCACATACTTCAAGATCTTCTTTGCCGCTTCTAGATGTGGCTTCCTTGGTGACTGCATAAACCGACTTACAAGACCAACCGCGAAGGAAATGTCAGGTCTTGTAATGGTTAAGTATAGAAGACTTCCCACAAGAGAACGATAAGGCCGAGGATCGGGTAGCAAGGATCCTTCATCGCGCTTCAGCTTGATGTTCGCATCCATCGGAGTAGTACGTGTCTTTCCTTCGTGTACCCCGAACTTCTCTACAATCCTTCTTGCGTAGCTATGTTGGCCGATGAATATTCCATCCTTCATCCTTTCAACCTCCAAACCAAGAAAGTTGTTCAGCTCACCCAACATCTTCATCTCAAACCTTATCGACATATCCTCTTGCAGACGAGCAATTTCCGCTTCATCATTCCCGGTAATTATCAAGTCATCCACATAAAGAAGGACTACCACGTGGACTCCTCCATTCTTCTTGAAGAACAGACTCGGATCAGAGTTCGACGGAGAGTAACCGCAAAACTGAAGAAACTGAGCAAGCTTTCCATACCAGGCCCTTGGAGCTTGTTTTAACCCATACAAAGCCTTCTTTAGCTTGCAAACATAATCGGGATGCTCTTGTGATATGTAACCAAGTGGTTGCTCCATATAGATTTCTTTATCAAGTTCTCCGTATAGAAAAGCGTTCTTCACATCTAACTGCCATAACTTCCAGCCAAAGCTTGCAGCTAAAGATAAGAGTGTACGTACCGTAGTCATCTTCGCCACTGGACTGAAAGTCTCATCATAGTCTTCTCCATACTTCTGAGAAAATCCCCGAGCAACCAATCTTGCTTTGTGTCTATCAATGTTTCCATCCCTCTTACGCTTGATCCGGTACACCCATTTGCATGAGACGGGTTGGACATCCTTGGGTTTTGGAACCAAATCCCAAGTTTCATTTTTCTTTAGAGCATCCATCTCCTCCTTCATTGCGGTCTCCCACTCTTTAACTCCTTTTGCTTCATCATAAGATGATGGTTCTTCTTCATCAAAAGGAGATGCAAAGTAGCATGAGTAAGTAGTAACAAACCTTTCATCTCTGTACCGAGCAGGTTTAACGATGTCCCGTTTTGGTCGTTGATTAGCCAAGGAACCATGATCTTCCTCCTCCTCTTCCTCTTGGTTAGTGCTCCCCCTTTCACCTTGCATCTCTGGTTCAGAAATTCCACCATCACTTGGTATCTGAGCAGCTGGTTCATCGTCTTTAAGTGAGCCCGCACCATCTTGCTCAACCAAGACTTGAGGAGATCCGTAATATGAAGACACTTCATCAAAGACAACATCACGAGATACAGTGTATCTGTGTGTCTCTGGATCCATACACCTCCACCCCTTCCTTTGTTCATCATAGCCGACAAAGATGCACTTTTTCGCCTTTGCCTCCAGCTTGGTTCTTTGAGAGTCGAACACATGGACATAGCAGATAGATCCAAATATCCTGAGATGTTTCACTGTTGGCTTCTTCCCATGAACCATCTCATAAGGAGACTTCATATTATTTGGACTAAGCGGCATCCGATTGATGACATAGGCTGCACATCTCATCCCTTCTGCCCATAGAGCCTTAGGCAAATTCTTCGCATGTAGCCAGCTTCTACACGTCTCACTTAGATGCCTTATCTTCCTTTCTGCTACTCCATTTTGTTGAGGTGTGTATGGACATGAAAATTCTCTCTTGATACCATGCTTTCGGCAGAAAGAGAGAAACTCGTTTGACATAAACTCCCCTCCATTATCCGTCCTTAAGGTCTTGATTTTCCGACCCAACTCTCCTTCCACGGTAACCTTGAATTCTTGAAACTTGGAGAATACTTCTGACTTTTCCTTCACAAAGTATACCCAGGTGTACCGTGAGTAATCATCAACGAACAACAGCATGTAGCGGAACCCGGAATAGGAGGATGTTCTCGTCGGACCCATCAAATCACTATGGATCCTCTCCAACGGAGCATTGCATCGTGAAGTAGAATTGTCAAATGGAAGTCTATGTGATTTTCCATATTGACAACCTTCACAAAGCTTTCCTTCATCTTGAATCTTCAACTTTGGGAGCCCATTAACCAGATCTTTATTCACCATAGCCTTCAGCTTAGTCATATTTATATGGCCAAGCCTAGCATGCCAAATAAAAGCATTATCATTCGTACTCATCTTCTCAATGTACGAATTTGAGGCCGATAAGACATAAAGATCTTTAACCCGTGCTCCGGTGTGAACTACGTCCGCCTTTAACTCTTGAATATTCTTCAAGAATTTAACGTCTTTTGGTCCAAATAAAACGTAGTTACCTGAGTCCACCGCATTCACCACGGAAAGAAGATTCTTCTTAACTCCAGGGACATGGTATACGTTCTTGAGAGTGATTGGGCCTCCTTCTTCTCCTTCAATAACAATAGTCCCTTCCTTCTCAACCCGGTGGATTGAATTATCCGCAGTGATAATAGCTTCTTTCCCGTCATGACGTTGAAGACTAGAAAATAACTTCTCGTTTCCGGTAATATGATGGCTACAACCCGAATCCACAATCCAATCATTTCCAAGATTTTTAGTTGTGGATGTACCTGAAGATGCAGCCTCCACCGTGAAACATTTCCCCCAATCTTCGTCTTCAGTATGACTTTTTGATTCCGCCATATTGGTTTCCTTCAGCTTGACCCGACAGTCCTTTTTGAAATGCCCAAGCTTTCCACACCGGTAACACTTGAACTGCTTCTTGTCTCCCGTAGAAGATCTTTCCCGTCCATCATTATTCTTTACACCATCATTCTTGGTTTTTCCTTTGTAGCTCTGTTGCCTCCGAGCTACAAAAGCGCTCCCCGAGTCATCATGGATTTTGACTCCCGCCATTTGCGTGGCTAAGGATTCTTGCGAAGCTAGCAGATTTTCAAACTCCTCCAAGGAAGGTTGTGTAGCCCATCCTTGAACGGAAGTCACAAACGGTGTATATTCGGGTCGTAAACCACGAATAATAGACCGCTTTAACCGAGCTTCCGAAATAGACTCCTCCGGATTAAGAGTGTTAATCTCAGAGCAAAGGTTCTTTACCTTGATGAAGAACTCTGAGATTGAAGACTCCCCCTGCTTCGCATTCGCCAACTCGTTCTCTAACAGTTGTAGACGAGCCTCATTCTTCTTGTTGAACAGTTGGTCCAACGCTTGCCAAATGGAACTAGCGGATGTGCACCTTGAGACATGCTCAAATACTCCCGAGGATATTGACCTCTTCAATGCAAACTCCGCCTTGGCATTCTTCCGTGTCCATTCCTTTGTCGCTTCCGCTGTCGCAGCAGCTCCCATTGGTGGTGTGGTGCTACTGCCGCCGACGACATCCCATAAGTCCTCACTCACCAAGTATGACTCCATACATGACTTCCATAACCGGTAGTTAGATTGGTTTAAGATCTCCATTCCCAATCCAACAACACGACCCATTGATTCCATACTTAGAGTAAACCCGAGTTCTCCTAAATCCCGATCTTGATGAGCACAAGATTAGAATGGCTCTGATACCATGTAGAGAAACCAGCACCGATAGTGCTTAGCACTAGCCCAAGACCGTAATACCCGAGAAACCCGAAAGAAACAATAAACCCTCTAAGTATGAAGAGAAATATGGAAGAACACAAGAGAATACTTGAAAGACTTTTAAGAAGAACAAGAGAGAACTTAGCTTTAGAACACTCTTTATTAACTTGTTCAATTTCTTGTGCATTTACAAATGAGGGGGTGAGGAGGTATTTATAGCCTCCCAAATCTACTTACAAAGTTTCTACACTCTTCTATAACCTCCTTAGGTCCTAGATATTTCTTCTTCTTCTTCTACAACTTTCTACAAATTATCTTACAAGTTTATCCTAATCTCTAGAACTCTCTAACATAATATCTAGATTTCTTGTCTTACAAGAACTAGAAAGTTCTACATAAATATCTAGAGAGTTATCTAGTAGAATTCTCTAGAAAATTTGAGGAAGTGATGACCTCTTATGATGTTTCTAGAGAGTTCTAGAACTTGGGCCTAATTTTGGGTTTAATAATAATTTGTTTATGGACCCAAAATTAAACCTTGATCAAAATCAAGTTTAATTTCAATATGCCCCACTACCCACATTTGAACTTGTAAACGTATAATAAATGTTTTTGTTTGGTTAGATATGTATAGATGAAATGAAACATGGAATTTAACCACAAATGAAAGAGAAAAGAAACAAAAAGAGAAAGGAAGTTTGGAGGAAGTGAATTGACAGAGAAGGGGCAGTGGACAGAAGATGCAACGGCATGAGCCCCACTCGGCAACCTATTCGTTGTGTTGCCTTCTGAGTTCTGACTATTTTCATTTCTTACTTTATTATATTTTGTCATCAAACCAATCCAAACAAACAATTCCAAAAAAACATCAGAACCAATAAAAAGAGGTTATTCAAAAAAGAATGTGACCTCCTCATTGTTACAAATAGGTTATAGGTATTCCACTTTTATCCTGCATAGGATGATTAATAGTGGACTGTACAGGTACTTATTTTGATTTTTTTTTTGATACTTTTCGCTTCTGGTTTCTTTCTGAAATTTGATATTTCCAGCCAATAGCCTTACCAAGTTTTCAGATTTTGTTGTGAACTTTAAATAGATAAAGAAAAATCATTGATACTGTTTTTTTGTTCCACATATAATATAGGTGCATATACTTTGGTTTTCAAGTAATATAAAGATGTGGGACAGATATTGGCAGGAAACATATTCTACAAAAAAGTATTACTTAACATAAATAATAAACTGAAACTGAACCAAATACAGACGAAAATCGGTTCTTAGTTCTTACAAATTTTAAACATAAAAATCCGATTCTTGGCTTCCCTCAGGCCGCTTAATGTCCACAGGACCATCCAACCATGCGAAACCGTCCTCGTAAAGATTTGCCTTCGTCTCCTTGGCTACTTTAAGTTTGGCTCGGTTATATATACTATTCGTTTTAAGCCGCCAATTTTGCTACCATGAGATTAATACTCTCTTTGATCTTGTAGATAGGATTTTATTCAATTTGAATACGTTAACATTAAAAGAAACTTGGAAAATTAACTAAAGTAAACAAAAAATAAAACCAAGATTTACTTTAACCAAAAAAAAGGAATTTGTAAGTATATTGCAAGGTCAGGAGTCTTGAGAAGGACTTCGGATTAACGCACATGACATGAGAAAGTGATATCAATGTAGAAGCAAAAGAACAATCATTTAATCACAGTACTAATCAATCAAAACACTTAAAAAGTAATCATATAAATCACCAACGATCGAGAACCCAAACGGAAGGCAGAAACACAGACCCAAACCAGAGCTTATCATTTCTCTCTTGAACCTCACTTACGAACTTCATATTCTTCCCTTCACTATCCTCAAGAATCTCCAAGACCTCACCGGTCTCGCCACAGAGTTTCACGGCGACGGCATGCGGCTTCCCTCCCTCAAAGAGGAAAACCAACAGCTCCATTTTCAACGTCTTCATGAAGAATTTCCCGATCGACGAATGCATCAATGAAAACCTAGAAAATGGAGTTTTCTTGGAATGCAAGGCAACCCAGAAATCCCATGTCTCGGTTCTTCTGATGTTATCAGCGTAGCCAGGGAGCTTTGAAAATATGTCTCGGGTACCGGCTTTTGGTTCCTTGGCCCAATATCGATGCACAAGTTGCGTTGGGACCTCGCAGGAAAGCACAAACGAACCTTCTTTGCTTAAGGCAAGACCATTAGGGAAATGAAGATGGTCCATTACAACCTTGGCCTTTTTTGTTTTCTTATCGTATCGAATCGTTCTTCCCGTCTTCTCGCCGCACAGAAACGCATAGAATACATCCCTGATCCAAACAGCGACAAAAAAGTTTTAAAATCTTGAAAAGAAGCAAACAATGTTGATTTCTGAATTTTGAAAAGAAGTAAATAGAGAAGTGAAGTTATAATACCCGAAATGATAGGTGTCGCTGCTATCGTTGAAGTAGATAGCATCCTCTTCTTCGTCTATATCCATTTGGTTCGCAAACATAACTTTCTGACCATCGACCTCGTCAACGACCTTCTCTGCCAATCCTCCTTTAGGTCCCACCCTCATTACCCCTAAGTAACCGTCACAAAAGTACAAATCTCCCGTTTTCTTCTCGAAGCTAAGTCCCAAAGGTCTCCCACACGCAGGTTCCACCTTATTGCTTAAACAGTTCCCTCTTCATACGCATAAACTTTATTATAACTTAGTCGTATTCTATCATCATTTATTTAATGAACATTTATATACTAGGGTTTTATCTTCTTCTTTTTTTAAATTGCTTTTACATGATAAAGATTGTGTGCTACATTTTTTTTTTTACTAAAGAAAATGTAACATTTTGAGTTGTACATTTTTCCTAAAGAAAATGCAAATAACCAATATTAAATCAAACAAACCTGTGGGGAGATGCGTAGGCGAATTCAACCCATCCAAGATCTTCACCGCTCCACTTGAGGATGCGGCCGTCTGTGACGCCGACGTACGGGCCTCCTCCTTGTGGGTCCCAGTCTAGGCTCTCAGGTCCATCAACGGGGAGCGGGATCATCCTCGCCGTAGTTAGGACGTTTTTTGAGCCCACTATATTCTCCGGTCCGATGAGGGTTGGCCCGACGAAAACGACCAGGACGGCCATAACCGCCGTCAAAACGGCCCACGTCAGAACTTTCCGGCCGATTGGCATTGATTTTGTAGCTGCTTTACCTTCTCTTCCGAGATAAATATGTGTTTAAGTGTAAGTTGAAATGGCTAGTTACTTAATCATATCCATGTATACTAATTACTTGGATATTTCTTGTTCGAGAATACGTGAGAGTCAAGACAGGGAATAAGTAGAGAAAAGCATAAGCTATTAGGAGAAGCGATCCCCTGTTACTATTTTTGTTAGCTTTTTTATTTATGTATGTATTTTAGTTGTTTTGTTTCTCTACATGTGGAAAATGGACTTAGATACAATAAAGACTTCAGACCATAAAGAAAATATTAAAATGAAGATTCGGACAACAGTCCACTATCATCAAGTCCAAAGTTCTAGTTGGAAAATCTTTTCAAATTATTTTGGATTTGCATGTAATAGAGTTGTGAGAAATATAGTTATGGCCCTTATGGGGAAAATTAAAGAAAGGACTTGTATTTCAACTCGTTAAATGGTTTTCATTTAAAAGGGATGGATAGTTGTATATTTGTGACATGTTTCTCTCTCTTCTTCTGTTTCTTTTTAGAAATATTCGGATTGAGGTGGAAAGAAAAAGAGTCTGCATATCACGTTTTGTAAGACATTTTTTTTTAATTTGGGATACCATTTACAAAGTATCTCTTTTAAATAAAAAAAATATGTGAAGAAATAGTCATCGGTTATATAACTTATATCGATAATTTTCAACGTTAAAAGCAAAAAAAAAAAAAAAAAAAAAAAAGGAAAATGGGTGAATAAACTCTGTTTTTCTTTCGCAAACAACAATTACATGAACTTTTATAGAGTAAAACATTCTGTGTTCAGAATTGAGAATGGATCTTGTAGACTTGTAGTTCGACAGAATTGCCTCTCTCTTTTTCTATAACATATCCTAATTTGTTGTGTGAAACGTTGGTTTCGCATACATTCCACTCGCTTTGTACGGCTTACGTGTAACGATATATCTCCTTAATCACGTCCGCCTTTTCTTGCGGAAGTTATATTTTATTGCTTTATATATTAAACGTAACACACTGAAATGTTTTTTCTGTTTTCCAACCACTATTTTGTCACACTAAATGTGTAGATCAAAAATAAGACGACTCTTTTCTATACCGATAAAAGGACCATACAGCGTTTTGAAGTCGCAGTCTCGCAGACGTGCCGATTCAGAACCACAAACAAACAAAAACACATACTACATATAATGGCTCGTTGACCCTCTTGAGCTGATGAGAGAAATCACCCTAAAGGCCGAAACACACGAAAACAAAAAACATCAAACAGAAAGAAGAAGATGAGGCACGGTCTGATAATCGTAAAATGCATCATCCTCCATAGCTTCCTCTGGCTGTAACATCCCGGTTTGTGATAAATGAGGAGAGGCTTAAGAGAATTGATTTGGCTACCTATGTCAACAAAGTGCACTTACCTTTTCGGTCAAAGGTCTATAAGTAACTCCAGAGTTAAGCGTGCTTGGTCTGGAGTAGTTGAAAGATGGGTGACCTCTCGGGAAGTGGTTTCCGAAACCGTGTGAGTGAGGTCAAAACACGGGGAAAGGTCGGGTGTTGATTGCAGGGATAGTAAACATGTCAATAGAGCCTCTCAAAAATAACGGACCGGCCGTCGGACAGGGGTGAGGCCCACGGGCCGATATGGACATGCGAGCCCAGAGAAAGGGCGTGGGTGACTCACCGGGAAAGGCGGTCGGGGCGTTATACTAGCGAGGATGATGCAGCTGTTCTCTACGCTTTCATATTACCGCTCGTTGAGCTCACTTACAAGGAAGCTCGACAAGAAATCACTTTCCCACTTGTGCTCAAGATGCAGATGGTCATGTGTCGCTGCTTCTTACTTATGTCTTGTTATGATGCTTGTATATCGCGATTTCAAGGTAAAAATATACGAAACCGTTCAGATCTTTGAATACCATTAAAGATCTTAGACGTTTTTTTATGTTTTCACCTTGAAATCGCCATTTACAAGCATCTCAAAGAGACAAAAGCAAGAAGCAGTTAAAAACAAATAGTAATGTTTAAACTGGGCTTCATTATTGGAGCTGAGCCCAACTTCTTGCTATCGAGCCTTCCTTCTAGCATCAAATCCATTATCATTTTCACGAGATTCTTAAGACTGGTGATAGTTGTGATAGTTGGAACTTGGAAGTCCTATTATCTATGAAGTCAATAATATCGGATTACCCAAAGCGGCAAAGCTTTAGATACCTAAGTCTATAACATCATCGTCTTGATATACTTAGGTAGCAACAGAACCACCTCAATCTATTCGGTAGGAGTCCGTTTTGACCTTTAGCTAAGAGCCTAAAACGTATCCTTAGTCCATATTTAGTGATATAGTAATCGAGATATTAAGATTGAGAAAATTTTTATATGAATAAAGTAGTTTGTAGGGTGCCGTTAATTGCACTATTTAGTATATACCTTTTGCGAATTTACATATCAAAGTTGAGAGTTAAGACTAAGCCTCCTAACCAAGGAACCATTATTCAAAAGCCTCGCGAATATACATTTATTTATTTATTTAATAGAAAAACAATTTGTTGACACATAACTGATTGTTTTTATGTGGTACGTGCGTCATAAAAATTGGGTCGTTTGGCAAGATAGGATTTTATATTGCTCAACCTTAAGAGATTTGGTGATACACCTTGATATAACTAATAACAATTATTCTACACCAACAAAAATAAAGATACAATATAATTAATTGTGGCGTTAGAAAGGAGTTTAATGTGAGCTTTATAATCAAATGGAGTTAGACGAACATAACCGTATACCCTTTATTTATTGTATTATATGAACGTAACATAAAATATAAAGATTTGGTGTGTAATATTGCCTTTTCCTTGGCTTTGTGTTCTATCGGAGGGACACTGGCCATATATCGTAAAATGTGTCCTAACATCGCGTGTAAGGGCATTTTAAATTACGGTTTAGTATTATATATTTTATGGATTAAAGACTAATGATGAAACCATCTAGGGGACAAGAAACATAAGGACCATCTACATTTTCAACTTAGTTAAATTTCACATGAAATGAACTTTGTTATCCAGTATTTACGGGTTGACGGAGTTACACATCAAAGAAATAGCATATATAAACATATAATTAACCATAACGCTCTTGATTGTTGTGAAATGCACAAAAAAAAATTTGTGAACTGATTGTTAAAGAAAAATAAATGTTTTTGTCGCTTGCGTACTGTGTCCTTTTAATCAAAATAATAATATGTAAAATTCTCAATTAACCTCACTATAGTTTAATCGTGCGTATGACTGCGTATATTATAAATCTTGCACGAAGCCCAAACTATATACTACGGTTAAAACTAATGGCTTATCCGGTTTACGCAACCACGCTTGTATCGACGTATGATAGATTTGAGACAGCCCGTATCGCGGAGGATTCATGTGTTCAAGGCGGCATCTACAGTGCCAATTTGTTTTCCCCTTTAATTAAAGAGTCTTGGGACGAACCTCATACATTTTTACATCCGAGGTAAAGTCTTTCATAAATAAGATTCGAATTCTTATTTTTCTAACGCAATCTTTTGGAGAACAACAAAAAAAACTAATAAAACTATCTACATTTGGTAATGCTGATTTTACTTTACATCGGTTTAAAAATCTAGGAATTAAACCTAACAGAACCGTTAACCGTAGACTAAAAAACGACCATTCCCTTAAAAGTTATATAACTCGAGTTTTTTTCTCTCTTTTTTTGTCGACAAGTTGAGCTGTTAATATTCTCAAAGTAGATCTCAACGTACGGTCATATCTTTTTAAAATAATGGCTGAGGTTTGGTTCATCGTATTAAGACCATAATCTCATTTTTCTTATATAAAATCTTCTTGTGTACCACCGTGAGCTAACGTGTTTCGATACTAGTTTATACACACCGAAGCAAATAAATACATATACTACCAATAATAATGTGAGCTTATCGATACATGAAGCTTTAAAATACTTTGTCAATTATAAGACCGATTGGGTACAACCACTCGTAATACGCACCCATTTTATTCATTTTTAAATTTATTGGGTGATTCTTTACAATTTATATCCATCAGCTCGTCGTGGCATAACATTTCGATATGCTCAGAACTCTACCTTTCTTTTACCTTATGGTTAACAGGTTAACTGAAATTATTTTTCCAGACATTCGTATTTATGTGTAATATGTCTTACAATAATGATTATTGTTTTTGGTAATATTAGAGAACGATCGTTATAGTATAAATAAATAAGCACTTTTTTTTTGAACAGCTAAATAAGCACATTATGAATAACCATTAAAGAATAAATAACCATATACAAATATACAAATATACAATAGAAAAGATAATCGAAGTGACTTGGAAAATAAGTGTGATGTCTTTTAAATATCCTTCGATGCTTATATCAGAATAAATTCGATTAGAGCAAAAACAAAAACAACTGAATTATATGCAGTTTTCGTCTGCGTGTTAGTGAGTTTTAGAATTTGAAATATTATTTATATGTAGGTTCTTTTTACGTTCGTTTTTTCTTTTTGTTTGGTAAAAGGGTTTGCAAGCTTTCAATTAGATCGCTCCTTTTATGTTACATGATAATAGTAAGAATGAAAAATTAGACAAAAAGACATATGTTTTTTTATTTTATTTTATAATGGATACTCTAAAAATTATATATGTTAGGAAATAAAAGAAATAAATAAAAAATGGAGGCCACCATACGATCCATCGTATCTTCTCTCATGTCACATGCCAACGTCTCTCTATTCGTTAAATATAATATTCGTGACATTGACTTTGCATTTATACCAATCTTAAATCTTATATTTATATAGACGACATGGATATAGTTTTGTGTTGAATATCCAATATAATCAAATTACAAGTCAAATACTAAATATTCGCCGAATATGATTTGATACTTACACAATACGTTTCTTTCAACTTGTCAAATCCTAAAGTTGCAAAATTTCAAAGTAAAGATCGTATGAACTTATTATGTGTAGAACAAGTCAAATATTTACTTTTGTTTGGTTACTTATTACTTGGTTTATTTGTGAATTGTGATAGGTAATCAATAAAACATTTCATCGTCGTCAGAATAAGACACATGACAATCTGATAAAGACACAAAGATTCCACCAACCGGTAAATTTCATTTTCTTTAAATACTAAATATATTTTGTTTTAACTGTTGAAGAACCAAAAAAAAAAAGAGAAAGAGAAGAAAAAAAGAGCTACCATTAAGGCAAAAATACCCGAAAGACAGGGGAAGGTACTGGTCAAGTGGTCAGTGGTCACCGTCAAATCTATTTCTAACCTCTTTTTTAACGATTACCATAAATATTTTATTCCAGATAGCATAAATAAATTACCTAGGACTTCATAAAATATGCGTAAAAAAGTTGCAACTACCACCATAAAACTCGTGTAAAATGACTAATTTGATGTTTGTGCGTAAAAATTGTTCCATCCACTTAATATTTTCACTCACTCCACTAATTCGTAGTCTTCTTCTACAAATGTGTTCAATTTATATAACTGTAGGGTCAAAAGTCGTGATGATGAAGTTATGAATGTGTTTAAGAGGAGGAGGGGTCCTCTATCATCAAAGAGACATGGACGGTTGTGCTGAAGTTTAAAGAGACAAGATCTCGACTGAAGATATATTCGACTATATATATTTTTTTACGTTTTGAGATTCAAAGCATATCTTCCCGACACATCGTGCATTACATTTTCATGATCACTCCATTCATCAAATCGCTTTTTTAGTCAATGCCACGATCCTTTGACTCTTGCTTCTTGATATCTTTGATTGCTATATTGAATGTCGTATATATATAGTCTTATATTAATATATCTTAGGTAGTTGCTATCAAAGTGAAAATATGAAACTAAAGACTAGAACATAGAGTGACGGATTTCGATCGAGTATTGAAGATTTTCTTTCTGAATCTATATCAGTTATTAAGTCATTCCAAAAACCTTATCATTAGTTACATTTGGCTATTGAAGAGATTTTAAACCATAAGAAACATGACACTGTTTTGAAAAATAAGTTATGTTTGAATCATTGATCTGTCACAGATACTAAAACTATAGGCTAAGAAAAGTCCATTCACTCAAATAAAGAATTTGAAATTACTTTCGATTCAGACACTTGGTCTTTATAATAATAACTAGATTAGGCCCCGCGTATACGCGGGTTTATTTTAATTTCCTTTTATAAAAATCATGAAAGAATATTAAACAAAATTTGATCACTTTTAAAAATAAGTAAAATAATATTAAAAACCCGATAATAAATCTCTAAATAAACTAAGATATGTAATATTTTTACATTTTAATTTTGAATTCATGATATGAAATAGAAAAGCTTACATGTGTCTAAATCTAATGGACTCGTTAATTTATGAAACTTTGATTATTCCATTGCTGAAACCTTTATTCTAAATATTGATGATTTTTTTAATATTGTTTTATCTAACAAAAAAATGGAAAATTTAACTATTTAATATTAGAAGATTGGTCCATTATAAAACTTTCTTTTTAATATTATTTAATTCCTTGATAATTATTTTATTAGTTTTCTATTTATATTGTTTCTTTTTCAATTTTGTGTTTGCCTCTTACCATTATAAATTTTCATTTTCATTATTAATTAGTTGTTTTACAATTATTTTGTTAGTTTATTTATTTATGTTACTACATTTTTCCAATTTTATTGTGTTGACATATGTAATCACCAGATCAAATATTAGACACATGTAGCGATCTAAAGTTAATTATTCTTCATTGATATCTTGAACTTTTAAAACATGATTTTTTATTTCTTAATGAGAAAGAAACTTAAAAAAATATAGCTTGTTATATTTTCCTTTTCGTATTTGGAATATGTTTTTTTATT